TCAGCTCTCAGTGATATATACCTGTCTGCCCAGCCCTCAATGATATAAACCTGTGTTCTGCCACTGGCTAGCTGTGAGACCTCAAGCAAGTTACTTAAATTCTAAACCATACTTTTCTTGAGGGTTGTTTTGAAGATTAAATGCATATGAAGTGCTTAGGGAAGTGGCTGGTGCATGGTGAGACCTCCCTAAAATCTTAGCTATAGTGTTCCTGAGGCTTCCTGTTATAGGGGAAGGGCCTTAGCCCTGACGTTATCTTTTCTGTCTTGGAAGGTAGTGTTTCTCCTGTTCTTTTACCTCCTTTATCAGTAGTGATTTTTCTTTTCGGAGGGTGGGGCGTGAAAACTTACACAGTGAGTGTCTCCTGCCTTGTCTTTAGGTTTTCAGTTACAGCTGCCCTATATCTGGTGAAAGTGGGTGAAATCTAGGTAAGAGTACTTGTTCCTACTTGGCTGCACTTCCTTTTGTAGCTGGAAAATCTTGGACAAATTTTGTAGTTGTAATCTTACAACTGTCTTTGCTCCCAGAAAAATTCAGCGAGTGGCTAGAGTCTGGGTTGTCTGTCTGCTGGTGTAATTTATGTCAACCAGAGTGTAAAAACAAGCAAAATTTGATCGTGAATATATGGCAGGTAGCTCAAGCCTCTGTTCCATCCCTTTCCTGCGCATGTTCGCTTGCAGGGACCAGATAGTCGTGTCTTGCACGCTGGGATTTGGAGGTGATGGAAGATTGAGTGGAGAAGGGATCCCCTTTCTGTCTACGACTGCCCTGTCCAGTGTGGCAGGCACCAGCCACACATGGCTTTTGAGCACTTGTAATGTAGCTAGTCCTAATTGAGATGGGCTGTAAGCATAAAATATACACCAGGTTTTGAAGACCTACACAAAAAAAGAATGTAAAATGTCTCATTAATATTATATGTTGAAAGGACATTTTGGTTGAATAAAATTTATTATTAAAACTTACTTCACAACCTTCCCTCCCTTCTTTTCTTTTAAAAATAGGAATAGAAAATTTAAAACTATATATTTGGTTTTCATTCTATTTCTGTCGGACAGTGCTGGTCTGGATTGTTGGATGGACAACTAAATAAATTTAACAGTGAAACTCCTCTGGTGCCCTGCAGTGTTCATATTTATTGATGTTGAGTCCCTCTTTTGGTTGAAAAAGATAGTGTAAGAACTACGTTACGGTCTCCTTGTTAGAGAAACTCATTCTCCCCGAGTTTGGGCTCCCTTTCTCTCTCAGATATTCCTAATTCATCCCCGGGTTATGGGGTTTAAACATCCGTGCCGGTTGGTGTCTGCTTCTGAATGGAAAGGGAACTAGCATTTACTGCAAGTTTACTGTGTGCTAGATGCTTTACACTGACTGTCCCGTGAAAGGTAGAATATCCCCAGTGAGACTTAAGAGAGGTTAAGTGACCAAAGATGATACCACTAGTGAGAGACTGAGCCTAGACTTGGACCAGGGTCTGGCTGGCTCTGGAGTTCTTCCCTGCTTCATGCTGCCTCTCCCTACCTGCCGCTGCTGTCCTGTACCTGCGGCCCACGGTCTCATGTCCCTCCTGGGTGCCCTTGTTGTCCAGATGGGACTTCTCGCACTCTAATTTGCATACAGATCACCTGGGGGTCTTGTTAAAAAATGCAGATAATGATTCAGTAGGACTGGTACGGGCCCAAGGTTCTGCATTTCTGACAAGCTCCCAGGTGATGGTGATCTGCTGGCCCGTGGACCACACTGAGTAGCAGGAGTCTCCACTGTTTCCCTTGGTTTCAGACCTGCTGCCTTTGCTTCCAGAGTGATCTGATTCTCCCAGCCTTGCCTGACTATGGGAACTCACCCTCGCTTTGCATCTGATGGCAGTGAGAGCAGTTGGGGTCAGCCCTGGTTTTCAGCCATGGACGCCCAGTCTGGCATGAACACTGATTTCTGGGCACACGGGGTCTGACTGTGTCCTCAGTTTTTTCTTGTTCCCACATAGCTGCGTTCCTCCAGCTTTATCACCTTGAGCCCTTGGCATCTGTAGTCTGATGAGACAGAAGGTGATTTTAATATTGAGATGAGATCCAGGAGATAATACACGACAGGGGTACTACCCATTTCAGGTCATCGTGATGAAGACTCTCAGGCCTTAAATCAACACGTAAGAGTGACTGTGCCATGTTTGGATCAGGGACTTGGGATCTGATGGGAGGTGAGGACTTGGAGCTGTTAGCCGGCCACTATTTCTGCCTCCATACCTGACAAGGAATTGGGTGACTTGTGACTTTTCCTTAGAATGGGAGTCCTAATGAGCCACCTCCCAGGGCCATGTTGAAGAATGGCTAATCCCCACCACCTGCTTGTCCAGCGCATAATGAAGGCAACCACCCTGGAGTCCCAGGATCCAGATGCCTTGGGAAAGGTCACTCCGGGGCCTGGGCCAAACAAGAAATTGAGTTCTAGGAAGGAGTTTGGTTATGTGTTTGAACCATAAACTGTAGACTCTACAAAACTGTAGTTGGCTTCTTTCTGATATTGGGAATGGACATTGATTAAATGAGTTGTAAGGATAAAATGGTATCTGTTCCATGAGATAGTTTGCCACCCCATCTCTCTACAAGAAAGCCTCCCATTTCACAGAAATCCTGGTTGAGTTTTAGATCTTACTGGACATTTGGACACTGAGAGTTCTATGATACATGGATCCAGCACTTTGAATACGATTTATTAATTGTTGGCCAAATCCGTCAGCTCCTCGTTTTCGTGCAGAATCCCTGCCTGGGGTGGTGGAGGTACGTGTTTTGGACCCGTGAGTGTGTCTTCTGTGGTGTCACATTGCCCTGCGGGGAGCAGGGACGAGGATGGGCATTCAGGACGGGCACGGCCACGGAGGCAGCCCTGGAGAAAAGGGTTGGAACCGTGGATGTTAATCTGAGTTGGGGGTGAGTTCAGGATGTAGTGGGGTAGTGAGTCAGAAGCCTTACTGGAGTATGCCAAGAGTCAGCATCAAAGACCAGGCAGATAGACGTGCAGAGAACATTAGAAGGCAAAGCAAAGATGGCTGGTCCCCAGTGCAGTGAGCTAGGAAAGAACCGGGAGTGCACAGCATGCAGACCGATGGGTATGTAAGAGTACAGGACCACAGGCACCAGGAGATGTGCATGATCTCTGTGCTCATAGGAGAGCCCCACGGGATGATTGTGGAGCGAGTTAGTGAACAGGTAGGTGAGTGAGTGAGGACAGTATGAGATACAGTGCCCCGGTCCCTTGATAACTGCATCGGAGCCAACCTTACGAGGTGGCCTTCACTTGGGATGGTGACAACCAAGGACAGCTCAGGCGGCCAAGGTGAGGAGATGGATTGGGAAGCAGTAGCTCCTTGTAGACAAGATTCACATGGGAAGCATTGCAACACTAGATTGTTTGGAGTTTGCTTGACTTTAGGGGACACACGATCAGGACACGGCTGTTTAAACCAGCACCATAAGAAAGGGAGCTAACCGTTAGGCCCCAGCTGCTGCCACAAGAACCTGAAACCGGGAACTCAGACATCATCTTGCTCTAAGATTATTCTGTGCTCTTTTTAGGGCCACGTGTCCTCAGTTGTCTCTTTGTGCCTCTCCCTTGGTACAGCGACGTTCTCTTTCCTGAGCACGTGGCTGTCCCGCAGCCCACGTGTCCCCGCGTCCTCGTTTAAGCCGCCGGTGGACATCACCTGTATTCCTCAGTCTGACTGCCAGTTCTCAAGACCAAAAACCTAATTGGTCCTGGTCTCATCCGCTGTAGCTTGGAGGGCAGGGTTACTACTGACCCTAAACGGGGGACAGTAGTTTCAGAGGAGGTGGCCAGTGGGCTTGTGAAACACCCTGAGGAATGTCTGCTACAGTAGAGGGATCATAATGGCAAATGGATGCAGTGTTAGCTGTCTTTGGTGTGTCTGGTCCAGGCATTCCCCATCGTACAATGTGATGCTCTAGAGAATGTCATTCTAAGAGCAAGGTCTGGTGGCTGCCTTTGTTCTCACATCGGCGCTCCAGTAAGTAGATGAGTAAAGGCTGTGAAAATATGAGCTGCTCGTGTTTATTAGCGAAGTTCAACAAGCTGTAGGCCAAAAGGAGGCAATGAAGGGGGGACTGCCTTTTATAGAATGTGCTCTTGTTCACACGTGACGACGATGCTGTGGACCAGCTGTTGGCTTTTTCAGTCAGGATGGGGGTCTCCTTGGTTTGTCCCCGTCTTTCATCTGCTCTTCTCTCTAGCCTAGAGCCCGGGGTTGCTATATGACTCCACCGTTTAGCGAGTGCAGCCTGTAGCATTGCCATAATTCATTACTGTCAGGAAACAGCTTACCCATAAACGAGTGGAATTTGTGTCAGGTTTTAACACTGTTCTCTGATAGGCTCATTTGGCTTCTAAAGGTAGAGGTGGGAGGAAATATACAAAGAAGGAAACATTGTATGGAAGTAGAGGTTCCAGTAAAGATAAACTTCGGGTGCAGTTTTGAAAAAATAGAGGGATGGAGTTTTTACAAAAAGGGAAAGAAGATCCAAGGAGGGAAATGATGGGAAAGCTTAGCACTTGGCATGTGCAGAGGACACCGGGCAGAGTTTTCAGGCTGGGACAGAGATTTTGAGGCAGGAAATGACTCAGAAAACAAGAGTTGCAAGGAAGATAGCTAAAGGGTGACTTGGTCACCTTGGGAAAGTGCAGTGAAGGAAACTGTGTCTGTTTGGAGACACTTTGGATTTCTGAATCGTTAGGCCTCACAGCAACCCTGACAGGTGGGTGGCCTTAACCCATTTTATGCCTGAGGCACTTGAGGCCCCAAGAATGAACAGATACGCCAGGCTGAGTGGCCAGTCATTGTTGGAGTCGGTGTTCATACCTGCCTCTTTTGGACCCGACGCCTATACCCTTTACATTCTTTAGTATAGTAGCCAAGGTGTACGAGCTCTTTTGAGTGTAGAAATGGAATCTTTTCTCTATTTTGTTTACTCAAAAATCACAAAAGCAGTATGTTTAGCTTTCAGTATTTGCTCCATAAATGCATAGCACGTGCTGCTTGTCTGAGGAATGCACTGGACTGGGGCACTGGAGGTAGGAAAACTGGCCGAATGGCTGGAGGAATTGTTCAAGCGTAATGTTTAGGGTCTCTCCTGGGTGCGTAGATGTATATCTGAGGACTTGCATGGGGGGTGGCGGGGGCTTGGTGTGAGTGTATGAATGTTTGGGGCCCCTCACAGGTGTATGTCTGTTTGACAAAATGCAAGTCTGGTTTAGCTGTCCAGCGTTCATTTGGGGGAATGATTAAACACATGGTTTAGTACTTGAGTAATAATAATTAAGCTTTGCTGGTTTTGATTTAGATGACTCACAGATTTTTTAAAAATTTCTTTTCCTCCTAATCTTGGGCATTAGGGTATTGTTGACTTCTGTTGGAGTTTCAGATTTAACTATAACTTCTTTGGTTACACAGTGCTCTAATTTCAGGTCATTGAGGACAGGAAAATTGTGTTCTGCCTCTGCTGGCTTCTTAGGAGACCTTGCTGGGCTGCCTTTCTGCAAGAGGCATTTGAGTGAAGGATGCTCATTATTAAATCCATGTAGTTGTTGAGAATTCTGGTGGCATCTGTGTCCTTATCGTCCCCTATTTGGGGACATCAGAGTTGTGGCTGAATTTCTTCTAGGGCTTTCTCTATGTTAGAATCCTATCACTGGCCTTGTTTTGATGTTTTAATAACTCACATTAATATGTAGACAGCACCTACCTGGGATTGTTTTAGCTAATTCTCACAATAACTGTGGGGTAGATCTTACTATCTCCATTTTCTACTCAAGAAAACAGAAGCTTAAAGAAGTAACATGCTCAGAATCTTGTAACTTTTAAAGAGCAGAGCCAGGACTTACTCCAATTTGTCTTATTCCAAAGCCCAGGTTTTAGAGACCACAACGTACTGTGGTTTATAGGTGTCATTTCTATAGCTGATCAGTGGGAGGCTCAAATATCTTTGAGGTTCAAAGCCACCGCTTCTGGGTCAACCAATATTTCTCCTTTTGTCAAGATTCAGGAGGTGTGTCTTGTTTGCTGCCTGACACTGATGTGGCGATGGCTACTGAGAGTAGATGAACATTAAGAGATACCTTGGTCCCCTGATTTTTCTTTACTGTAAACGTGTGCCTACCTGTGTGCATGTGCATTTGGCAACACAGGTAGCCTCCTCTTGGCAGTACTTACAGAACCAGTCAAACACTGTTTTTATAGTCATTTCTACAGCAGAGTCCCTTTAGAAATACTACCTTCTTGTTCTTCCCCCGTATTTGGAGATTTTGTTCTCTTGTTCTTTCCTTAAGTCGTCTTGGGTCGATGCAAAGGTGCCCCTGGAGAGGAAGTACCAAGAAAAACATGGAGGAAGAGTTGTTCAGAAACATGGGCAGGAAGAGTCTCCTTCACACTCGGCTGCAGAACTTCTATTTCCTAATACCGTCTCCCAAGGAGGATAATTGATTAGAAACAATCAAATATGTCCCAAAGATGTCTCACCCCGAAAGGTTCCAGCATCAGATAAGCTTGGGTAGTGTTCCCAGCCTGGGCAGTGGATCCCCGTAATGAAGTTTCACACTAGAAGTTCACATCAGCACTTGGCAAGTTCAGAGAAGCCTTAAAAGAAAGGTGTGTGTGTGTGTGTGTGTTTAATCCAGCACTTCCCAAGTTCCTAGACCGTAGAATCCCTTCTTTCCTCTTTTTGGTGGAAATTGAACAGCAGGAGGAGTGTTCTTGGGGGACCATTGTTCCAAGCTGTCTGTTGTCTTTGATGAAATTAGTAAAAACTGAGGGAGGGCCTTGTGAGAAATAGACACCTTCCTGGTTCTCCTTTTAATATAACATAGCGTTGGACAAAGTATGATCAATTCTCTTTCTCTGTGTTTTTCTGTTTTCTGTCTACTCCAGGAAGAGAACTTTAAGTGAGCTTTCTTTTAAAGTCAGCAGCCTGTAGACATGCTGTGAATGATAACCTTGGGGGATGCTCTCAGTCATGTCTTATAGATGAAAGTACTACCTTTCATAAGTCCAAAAATGCCTTAAGTGAATTTGGTATCTAGCAAGACTAGGCAATGGCCTCATTTTGGAATTCAGGACCAGTTGTGATAACCCTGCGGGGAGCCCCTTTGTCTACACCCTTCCGCAGCTGGTGGGAGGGGAAGTGGAGAGGTAGCTGGAGTGGTGACGCCACCCTCTCTAGACTGGGAGGTGGCTCTGGTGTGCATGCCCAAGGGGAGCAGGTTTCTCGTGATGTTAGGGTGAGGTGTTGGTGGGAGAACAGGTGATAAGGGGAATGTCTGTTCATGCAGAGCAGGGCTTTTCACCCTCAGCACTAGTGACATTTGGGGCTGGGTAGTTCTTTGTCTGGGGGCTGTCTGTGCAGTGTAGGATGTTTAACAGCGTCCCTGGCCTCTACTCAGTACCCCACTGGGTGCCAGTAGCAGCCCTCGCCCTGCTCCGAGCTGTGCCGACCAAAAACGTCCTGGACATTGCTAAATGTCTGTGGTGGCAGAGAAGGGGCAAAATCACCCCCGTTGAGAACCACTGACTCAAAGCCTAGTAGCAAGGACGACACTTCAAAACTGGGCTAGTAAAAATTCCAAAAGAAAGACCTCTGAGGGAAGCCAGCAAGCACGCGTGGCTGGATTGTGAAATCCCCAGAGAAGAGCAAGATACCTTCAGCTGCTAGGGCTCGCCTCCATGTTTTCTAACGCTGGAAGTCTCAAAAATGTTTGCAAATAGCTTGTTTAGTATTTAAAATAAAGAAGTTGCTGGTAAAATGAATACAAAATAGCCAAAGATAGAGCCGCTGGTTTGATGGGAGCATTTCAGGGACAACGGCTTCTGTGCAGGATTTAGGATTTTTGTGCAAAAATCTGGAAAGCTTATTCAGGTGACAAAGGAAAATTACTTTGAACCTCTCCTGTCTGTACTCTCAAAATATCACCTCTAATTTAGAAAATCTATACTTTGCTTCAAGCTAGAATTATAGAGATGCTCCTGAAAAGTGTGGCATTTATAAAATGCCAAAGGAATGCTTCTGAAGCCTTCATGAGTTTTTCTCTTAAGCCAGGATCTTTTGTTTTTAGTACTTAAATGGGTCTGTAAGTGATTTCTTAGTTTTGAAATAATTGGAATTCACCAAACACGAAGCATTTTGTATCCAACTAATAGCAAAGAAATTTAGAAATTTTTTTCTTGCTCTCTCATCATTGAAACTGTTTGAATAACCCACTTCAAGCAGAGGCTGTAATGACTTTTTCTGAAGTTTATTAATGGTGACAGATTTAGCCCAGACCCTTTCAGTATTTCTATAAACTCATTGACAAATTAGTGAATTGCCGGCACAGGGGCCTTTTAGTTAAAAGAATGTGGAATATCTAGTGGGAGATAGAGCGCTTGCAAAAGTACCTTTGACAGAATTGCCAAGGTTGATGATTCTGACTCTCCCCAAGTTCATAGGAAATGTAAACGTTCATCTACTTCCCTGTAGGTAAGAGATTGTGAAAATGCTTAGGTGGGTGAACTTTGAAAACCATCCTGCCCCTGCCCTTTCTGAATTCAGGTGTCAGATGTTTAGTGTTGAAACCTAAGCCTTTCTATGAACTTTACATATCTATAAATTTTACATATCTGTATGTATAAATGTATAAAATACAGTATGCTTATTCTGCATAACTATCTGTATAAACATGTACAATGCAATATGCTTATTTTTTCTTTTAAATTTTAATGTAGTGTATATATTGTTTTAGGAACTGGTTCCCCCCCCCCCCCCCTAAATGGGGTATCTTGATTGTTCCATGTCAGCATCTATAATAGCTCTCCCTTACTTTTAATGAGTGCATAGCACTCCATTAGAAAGGATCCCCCCCCCCCCACTAAATGGTGTATCTTGATTGTTCCATGTCAGCATCTATAATAGCTCTCCCTTACTTTTAATGAGTGCATAGCACTCCATTAGAAAGGATGTACCATAAACAATGTGAATGTACTTAACACTGTTGAACTGTACACTTAAAAATGTTTAAGATGGCAAATTTTATGTTATGTATATTTTACTGCAATTTAAAAAAGAAAAAGGATGTACCGTAATTGATATAATCATTTCTCTGCTGATGGACATTTATACGTTTTCCAGTGTTTTGCTGTATTGCAAATAACTGTGCACCAAACATTTTTATACAGATGCCCCTCACTTTGGAAGATTTTATTTCTCTGTTTTAAAGCTTTGCGCCTGTGCACTAAGATCAGTGGCATGTCTTCCAGATCCAGCAACTAGGATCCTGGCCCTTTTTCCCTTGGGAATATAGCTAAGGAAAGAGCAGGTTTTTCCTTCTGGACTTTTAAGAATTTCTTGGTTGTGAGTGTGGATTTGGAGAGAGAATCCCATAGTTTGTAATCTCCGCAGCTGAAGGTTTTCTTTCATTAGACTTGGAGGGTGTCTGGGCAAGCCCCTTGCCCCGAACACCTGTTTACTGTCTTGCGCCAGATATCTGCAGAGACCGTCAGCCCAGGTAGGTGACCTGGTTCCCAAAGGCATTCTTGGAGGTGAAAGGAAGGCCACCCGTTGGGAATACCGGTGGCTGAGTTTCAATAACTGCGTTTGGCTGGCCGGTTAGGGGCCGGTTAGGGGCTTACTCCTTCGCACAGTTGTCTGGGCAGAACTGAGCCAGCTGTTCAGACGCAGGGCTTTGGTATTTGGTCAGCTCTGACTCCGGCCTTCGAGCTTTTCTAGCAGAGCCATCATGTTGATATGCTAACCCGAGGGCAGTCCTGCCCTTCAAATTTACATTCTGCTTTCTAAAGAAAAACACAGGACAGGTATTTTTGGAAGCTTTGCGTATTCGCTTAAGTAGATATTCCATGTTTGAGAGCCCTAGCACTCACGGCAAGTCAGCACAACTCTATTTTTGACTCGTGAGCAGGGAAGGAAAACAGCAGTCACGTGGATGGACTGGAGTTGCTTAACTTGGGTATGTCGGGTGCGGGTTCAGTCACGGGGCAGTCCAGCGCCCTGAGTCTCCCGCGATTGGTGTTGGGGAGGTGGTCTGGT